TTTCTTTCATTTATAGTAGAGACGGGGTTGGCTCTTGCTCAGGCTGGTTCAAACTCCTGACCTCGAGCAATCCGCCTGCCTCAGCCTCCAGAGTGCTAGGATTACAGGCGTGAGCCACTGCGCTGGGCCTGAATTGCTTTTTAAAATAGCATCCACCAGCGCCCAGGCCGCGTGGTGGCTCATATCCTAGCCTCTGGGAGCGACGGAGACGGATCACTCAAGGTCAGGAGTTCGAACCAGCCTGAGCAAGAATGAGACCCCTGTCTTCTACTATAAATAGAAAGAAATTACATTGGACAACTAAAAATTATATAGACGAAAAATTAGCTGGGCATGGTGGGTGAAGCCTGTAGTCCCAGCTACTCAGGAGGCTGAGCCAGAAGGATTGCTTGAGCCCAGGCGTTTCAGGTTGCTATGACTAGGCTGACAACAGGGCACTCTAGCTGGCAACAAAAAAGGAGACTCTGTCTCAAAAAAAAAAAGAATTAGCATTTACTGCCTCAGTGTAAACGGTAAGAGAAATAAATAAAATCAGCATTAATGGAGCACCCTATGTGCAGACCCAAGTTACATTGTTTCCTGTTGCATTTCCAATTTTCTTTTTTGTAATAATGTGTAATAATTATATTCATATGTATATTTTTACATAAATATCTCCCCCAGAGAGCTATAGACTGAATTCTTGGATCTTGTCACTCCCTTGCTGTTTACTCTGGATATGCTACTACTTCTGTGAACATAAGAGTTTGCTGCTTTTAAATGAGGGGTAAATGGTGAGGTGGCCAGCGCTTTGTAGTCCAGCACTTTGAGAGCCAAGGCGGAGGATCATTTGAGTCAGGAGTTCAAGACGAGCCTGGAACAAAACAAGACCCCAGGTCTACAAAAAATTAAGAAGTTAGGTGGTCATGGTGGTTGCACCTGCTTCCCAGCTACTCAGAAAGCTGAGCAAGAGATCATTGAGCACCAGGAGTTCAAGGTTACAGTAGCTATGATTGGCACTGCACGCCAGCCTAGGAACGAAGCAAGACCCTGTCTCTACAAAAAAAAAAAAAAAAATGAAGATAGGGATATCGCCAATCTCAAAGGATTTTGTGGAGAATAAATTTTTTTAAAAGTTATGTAAATGCCAAGTCCTATGCCTCATGCCAGCATACTGAATAATAGTAGTCATTAGTGGAATATTCAGTCAGGAAAATAGTTTTTACAGTTCTGTAATACGTCCAATGGTTCTTCAGGAGGATTTACCTAATTGCATGTGGCTAGTATCATGTAATGGTGTCTCTCTTTCCAATATCACAGTAATTATTTTACCCGTTTTTCTAGTCTAACAGTATGTAATGGTATGGCAGGGTTATTTTAATTTCATTTCTTTATTGCTAGTGAGGCCATGCATTTTCCTTGGATGATTCCATTAGCTTTATTTCAATTGCTAACAACATTTTTCAAACACTGTGATTTCCACTGGTTTATCCCTACAGACGTTATATGTTTGGTCTGACAGAGCATTTTGCTGACAATTTTTTCTTTTCTTTTTCTTTTTTTTAATAAAGAGGGTTGAGGGAGAGAGAGAGAGAAGCAACAGGAATATTACAACGAAGAGATTGACAAGTCAAAGCTCAACCCTAGAGCGGCTCTGCTCACTAGAAGTTCTATAATACCAAAAATGTCCTGCCTCTGTGCTGTCCCGCATGGCAGCCAGTTGCCACATGTGCCCACTGAGCACTTGAAGTGAAGCTAGTGCACTGAGAATTTTTAATTTACTCAACTTACATTTATAAGTATAAGTATAGCCACCCTCATTGACAGCACATTAGAGATTAGGAAAAAAATAAGGGAGAAGGAGAAAAAAGAGGGACGCCTACAAAGTCACTTGGAAGCAGCATCGTATGTCGAAGGGCTCGAAATTTAGACTTCTGTATTTTCCCCGAGAGAGAGACAGTCCAGAACTGTTGGTTTTCACAAGGTTGTGTTCGGTTTGTGAAATTTATCAAGCCATACACTATGAATATAGTCCACTTTCTCTATGTGTTTACACTTCAATAAAAAAGTTAACAAAAATTATCACACTTTGTGTAATTTGGCATTTCTCTGATTTTTAATTCAGCATATAGTCTCAAAAAAGTGTCTGTTACTCGCTCTGGAGAGCTGAAGACCCTAGAGGGCGCTCTTTCATTGAGCTATTTCACATGCCATAAAATGTGCTCATTAGTGTTCAATTCAATATTTTTAGTCTATTCGGAGTTGTGGACCATCACCACAGTCATTTTTAGAACATGTTCATCACTGAAAAGAGACCCCGTACCCCTAAGCTATCAGCCCTGGCAACCACTAGTCTACTGTCTGCCTCTACGGATTTGCCTATTCTGGGTATTTGGAATGAGAGGAATCACGTAATAGGTTCTTTTGGTCTGGCTTCTGTCACTTAACATCATGTTTTCAAGGTTCCTTCATGTTGTAGCATGTCGCAGCATGTTAGAGCTTCATGTCCTTTTCATCACATGGACAGACTTCACTTTGTTTATTCATTCATCTGTTGAAGATTTATTTGGGTGTGCCCCACCTTTTGTCATTATGAGCACCAAAGACTTTACTGGTTCTGCAGTAGGTTCTTCCTGCCACTTCTGGGAAACTGACCCAGGTGCTCGGCTCAAGAAAGCCCATTCTCACTGGATTTTAGACCCTGCTCCAGGAGTGCTACAGCATGGATGGCACCCCCTGGAATTGCACAATTCAGTCAGGCGTGGATAGATCTTAAGATTCCCTAGGATTTCCAAAGCTCTGTGTGTCTAGAAAAGTGTCAACAAGGCCATGCCTCCCCAAGCGACTTTTATCCGTAGGGTGTGGGGGGTCCCTTTCACCCAAGCTGGAACAAGGCCCTGGGAGGAGCCCAGCGACTCACCCACTCAATTACAAGTGATTATCAGAGGGTATTGGGACAGAAGCACCCAAACTTGATGCTCCTGGAACTTCAGTACTGGGGGTGGTCAGTCCAAACCGCCTACTCAGGTGTTTGTGAATGATGCTACTGGATTGTGGCCTCATAGGGACAGTAATCTCATAGGTTTGTAACCTGCCCTTCCAGCTGGTCTGCCCCGTGCAGATAAGCCTTACTTTGGCCACAGTCTTCTCTGTGGGGCAGTGCTGCCTTCTTCTGCCCAAAGTTACAGATCCCCCACAAGACTAAGACCACCAGTGTGACATGTGCCCCTCAAACTTCGCTGCTACCAGGTCTGGCAGGAAGGGGCGGCACTGCCAGGTTGCTTGGCCACAGCAGCAGGTTGCCATAGCGACCATGCCCGGGAAGGGGAGGCGCGTGCGAGCTGCAGGCAGAGCTGAAGCTGCAGGCTGGGCCCCCCAGGTGAGTGCACTTCAGGGGGAGAAAATGGGGCAGGCCATGACTCTGGACTGACCCCCAGCCTCTGGGCCCCGTTCCCTCCCTTCCATGGCGTCTTTATTGTTGGTTAGCATCAAAACAACCTGGGCAGGGTGCGCGCTGCCTTGCAAGCTTTTTTGTTTCCTTTATAAAGCTCCTGTACGAAGACTGCAGACTCCTCTCCAGTAGAAGTTATATTCCGAAAGTGCGAAGGAGGATATTTTATGTTACACTTGCTTGAACATTCAGTAACACCCCAGTGACATCATAAAGAAAGTTATCAGAGTCTAGGTTGTTTTTACAATTCTGAGTAAGCCAGAGAGAAAGGTGTCAGTTTGGGGCTAATATGGCAGTAACACTCGCTAACATTTGCTAGTCTCTTTTCAGCAGAGACCTTGGAGCCAGCCAACTGTAAGCCACCTCGCTAAGACTGAAGTTGGCTCTTTTACCTTTGCCTTAGGGTACCTGATACTGGTTTTCTATTTACTAATTGATATGTAACAGTGTCTTCCTTTTTGGATATATGTATTGATTTTTTTTTACAGCGAGTTATTTAAATATAAAATTAATAATATAGTGCAATGGGACTTGGAAATAGGAGGGGAAAAAAACCCAACAATATGAAATTTAGGAACGACTCTGTTTTGCCCCTCCCAGCTTTTTGCTCTGGTGTTTTTCTTTGCCTGGAATGATTTTCCCTATTCCCAGGCATATTGTGAAAACTGTGTGACAACCAGTGTAGCACAGGCCCCGGACTGGTCAGATTCCTGAGGTCCTCCTCCTTGCTTGTCTTTCAATCCAGAGCATGGAACAATGACCCCCCCACACATGTTTAGGTCACGATATGGAGAGGGGTGAATGGCAGAGGGGGAGGGGAGGAAAAAGAAAGAGAGAAAAGGGTGCAGTCCACCTGGCTCTTTCTTGGCTGAGGCCACTATGTCACAGGCACTGTAAGTGGTGGGAGACAAGAGAGAAAGACACAGTCCCTGACACTCAGGAGTCCTTCTCTTGGGGGTCCAGGTAGGCGGGCCTGCAGGTTCTAAACCCAGGCATTCTGAGAAGGAAAGGTGCCATCTAGGTGGGTCTTGAAGCACTGTGACCTACTATATAAGAATTGCTGCAAATGCAGCCATGTGGCTGGCCCCAGGTGCGTAGATGCCTGGGACACCATGATTTCCAGGAACTGGCTCATCCCTGAGCTCGTCCTAATTGGTCAGTATCTGTGCATGCTGCTCCAGCCTTAGAGCCAGCACGCACTTGATTAGTCATAGTGGTTTTTTTTTTTTTTTTTTTTGAGACAGAGTCTCACTCTGTTGCCTGGACTAGAGTGCCATGGTGTCAGCCTAGCTCATAGCAACCTCAAACTCCTGGGCTCAAGCAATCCTCCTGCCTCAGACTCCCAAGTAGCTGGGACTACAGGCATGCACCACCATACCTGGCTAATTTTTTTCTATATATTTTTAGTTGGCCAATTAATTTCTTTCTGTTTTTAGTAGAGACAGGGTCTTGCTCTTGCTCAGGTTGGTTTCAAACTCCTGACCTTGAGCAATCCACCTGCCTCGGCCTCCCAGAGTGCTAGGATTACAGGTGTGAGCCACCGTGCCTGGCCCATAGTGGTTATTAAATATGTGACTGCCACCCCCTCTCCAGGGCCAGCTTTTCCCTACTGCCATCACAAACCCTCCTGCTCTACTGGTCTCCCGGGGTTCCCAAGCGATTGTGCCATCAGACCCCTCCCAGAGGGGCCCCAGGAGAAGCAAGGGAGGGGATAGCCAAGGGTCAGTCCAGCACTAAAGGACCCCCACCAAGGGCTGTTCACCTGCCCTGAGGACTAGCACACACATGACTCACCCTCCTTGAGCTCAGTGTCCTGGCAGTACACGGGCACACTGAGCCCCCGATGTCCTTGACCACTTGCCAGCACCTTCCGGCCTTGCAGAATCAGCCACCATGCCAGTCACTAAATGCCCAAAAAAGTCGGAGCCACTGTGGAAGGAGTGGGACCGGAAGGCCCAGAAGAACGGACTGAGGCACCATGTGTTCGCTGTGAATGGTGACCACTATGTGGGCGAGTGGAAGGACAACATGAAACATGGTGAGCAGGGGACTTGAGGGGCTTGGGCGGGGAGGGTGGGGTCCGAGCTATGGTGCTTGACAGGGCCAAGAAAGCAGAGTGTAGGCCCGGCCTGGTGTCTCAGGCCTGAAATCCTAGCACTTTGGTAGGCCAAGGCAGGAGGATTGCTTGAGGCCAGGAGTTTGAGACCAGCCTGAGCAAGAGCAAGACCCACCTCTACAAAAAATAGAAAAATTAGCAGGGTGTGATGGCTGTGCCTGTAGTCCCAGCTACTTGGGAGGCTGAGGCAGGAAGATAGCTTGAGCCCAGGAGTTTAAGGTTGCAGTGAGCTATGATAATGCCACTATACTTTATCCAGGGCAACAGAGTGAGATTTCATCTCAAAAAAAAAAAGTAAGACATAACATACTATATATTAAAAAATAATAATAATAAGACTCTGGCTGAGCATGGGGCTGGGTGGCAGGAGGAAACGGAAGCCCCCTAGAGACCGGCTTGCAACTGAGATTCTGGGCTGCAGACTCAGCGCTGATGCTCTGCAGATAGCTGAGTGCAGGGTCTGAGGACCCTCCTCATTCCCCCAGAATGGGCTCCCACTGGACTAACTGGGCCAGCTCTGGGTGTGACCAGCAGGGGGCGAGGAGGGCCTGGTGATACCAAACACTGATGGGGGGAAAAGATAAGAGATTTTATTAAAAACCCTGGCATGCCTGCTCACTCTAGTCTTACAATTCCAGATCTGTGCTCATGCCCACCCCGCTCTCCTGCTTTCCTGGGTTAAGTGCTTTGGAGTCTTTAAAGCTGGGTCAGAATGCCGGTTCTACCAGCCATGACCTGGAGTGCCACTACACCACTCTGAGCCTCGGTTTCTCCATCTGTAATATGGGAATACTACTCATTTATAAAGATAAGAGACGATATCCATCAAATATGTAGCCCAGGGTCTGTACAGAAAGGGAACTCCTGGAATGTTCTGAGGGCTGAGTGTGGCAGGGATCACTACTCGAAACCTTCCTTGTCCAAAGCTGACCCCACCCAGCATGTGGCACAGCACCCACCCTCAGCATTTACTGAAAGGAGGCATTTCTTGCAGCTGTCCTGAACTCTGTGTGCAGTTAAAGATGCCTAGTGCGTTTTTCAGTCCTTGTGGGGTGGACAGAGCCTTGGACTAGGAGTCAGGACGCTGAAGTTCTGAACCGGCTCTAGCGTGGAGTACTTAGGAGACTTCAGGTAAATCACATCCCATTCTCTAGATCTCGGCTTCCGCAGCTGTGATGAGCTGGCGTGGCCCCGTGAGCCTTCCATTGGGCCAGTCTGGCCTCCACTCAGACCTGCAGGTGTAGCCCCAGAGCTGACAGGCCTGGGCTGCCGAAAGCAGACTTGTAGAGAATTTGGGCCCCCTCTCTTCAAGGCACCCTTTGACCACACCAAAGTGAGTTGCTGTGGTTTGAGAAGATTGGAAGTATCAAGAGAGTCATCATGCAGGGTGGGGAGAGGGTGGCCTGGCGGGTCCCCAGACTGCTTGCTCATTCACTCTACAAATACTTATGAGTTCCTGGTCCAGACGGGGCCCTAGGCAGCTGGCATAGTCCCAATCCTCAGGGAGCTGCCAGTCTTGCAGAGAACCTGCACAATAAGGGAACACCCTCATGTTGCAGATGAGGCACCTGGGGCTCAGAGAGAGAACACAACTTACTCAAGGTCAAGGGGCTGAGAATGGTGGCATGCAGACCCAGATAAAATCCAGTGGTGGCATCCAGATCCAGATAATATCCAGTGGTGGCATCCAGCTGTGAAGGGGCCACGAGAACAGTCAGAGAGGTGATGTTTTGGCTAAGCCTGGAAGGATAAGAATGAATGCATCAGGCAGAGGGGTATGTCTTATGGGCAGTGGAATCAGACTAGAGGGTGCATTGGAGTATTAAGGAGTGGGGCTTGATCAAGGAACAGACTGGAAGCCAGTGTGGCTACAGCAGAGTGAACAAGTGGGGAGAGAGTGGGTAAGGTCAGTAGGGCCAACCACACAGGGCCTCATGGGCCATGGTGACTATTTGTCTTTATCCCAGGAGCAAACAGGAACGGCTTTACACCAACTCAGACCCATGTTTAGTCACGCTACTATATTCCTCACCCGTCCTGACGACGACCTAGATGGAGGTGCACCAAATATGTTGCTGAAGCATGAATCCCCTTGAGATTAGGAGAGAGCCAACTACACCCTCGACTTCACAGTCTACTTCATCGAGCACTCCTACTGTGGTGCCAAGGACCGGACCTAAACGGCACGTGTGGAGATGTAGCAGTGAAGAAAACAGATGCTTGTCCCCATGAAGCTTACGTTAGCAAGGCTAAGATACACATCAGCAAACAACAAATACGGTATAAGTCAGTGAATATAGTATGTTCGAGGTAGTATGTATATGAAAACAGAAATACTGAGACATAGGGTCAAAGCCAGGCAGCAGTGGCTCACACCTGTAATTCCGAAGCCATTCGGGAGCTGAGGCAGGCGGATTGCCAGATCGATTGGAACTGGTGCGAAAGCCAGCCTGAGGCAGAGAGAGACGCCCGTCTCTTACTATGAAATACAAAGAAAGTAAGTGCGCACTAAACTAACGGCAAAAAAATTACGCGGGCAACGCGCAACAGCCGTAGTCGCAGCGTACGTGGAGGCTGAGGCAGGAGGACGCTCTGAAGCCCAGGAGTTTGCGAGGTTCGCTGTGAGCTAGCAGCGCCCACAGCACTCAGCTCTAGCGCTGGGCAAGCAAAGTGACGACTCTTGTCCTCTAAAAAAAAAAAACAAAATAGAATAGGGTAATAGGGTTCTAGGTTTGCAGAATTAAATAGGGTGGTCTCACCTCCGTGAGCAAGTAGGTTCTCCTGGAGGTGAGGGAGTTAGTCAAGGGGATGTTTGCAGGGACTGGCATGTTAGGTGGAAGGATTAGCTGGAGTAGCTCTGTTCAAGGAACAGAGCGAGAAAGAGCAGGAGGTCAGAGAGGCAATGGGGTGGGGAAGGGAAGTCAGATAATGTAGGCCCTCATAAAGCCATGATGATTTTACTCTGAGACACGGGGCAGATTTTGAGCAGACGACTGACAGAATCTGACTCGTGTCTTGTAACACTCCCTCTGGCTGTTGTGCTCTGAATGCGGGAGGGCAGGGAGACCACTCAGGACTCTTGGAGACATCCAGCTTCAGCAAATCACCTTTCAGCTCTAGCAAAAAAGCTAAGAAAATTAGCTTTTTTAAACCCTCATGGAGATGTTCTTACTGTTTTTATTTTTCTGTTTTTTCCTACTTTGCTGGGCTCTAATTTGCCTCACTATCTCCTGTATAGACTCTAAGCTCTTCCCTCCCCTGTATTAAATTCTCTCTGTTTGAAACACCTAATGTGGTTTCATCTGGACTCTGAACCCTCAACTGATACAGTCATCTAAACAGAAAAGAGAAAATGCCAGGTCTTAAATCCAGGTCTCGGGACTCCTATACTAGGCATTTGTTTTCCCGGTAGACGAGGAGTTTCCCCAGGGTGGAGGGCAGACTGTGTGCATCAACTCCTAACTAGACTCCTGGCTGCCTCCTGCATACACTCTTCACCTTCTTCTAATAATAGGCCTCTCCCACTTTGGTCACAGAAGTGGACAGGTAACCCAACTGCACCAATCAGAGAACTGGGATTTTTCAAAGTGGACTAGGACAGAAAAGTCACATTTCTTCTCTAGTTAATAACCTGCTGATTCCCATAAGAGTCTCCTGCATTTGCCTGTAGTAGGAGAGACCGAAGTCGCCCATGGAAGGCACAATCATGAGCACCTTTCCTCATGCAGTTCCCTCAACCTGGACTGCCCTTCCCGGCTCCAAGGTCACATCCTCTAGGAAGTCTCTGAGTCCCCGGATTAGACTAAGTGCCCTACCTCCACCTCAGTACCTACCTTGGGATGCTGAAATTGATCTACGCGGGTATTCCTCAGACCTGTTTCCTCTGCAAGAGGCATGCACTCAATCTGGGATGGCTTTCAGGGATGGGGAGCCTGTGGCCTCAAGGCCACATGTGACCTCCAGATCCACTAGGGCGGCTGCCCGACTGAATCCAACGGTTCGGCCAGGGCGGGACTCTGAGGCTTACTGTCGCCGGGACCTGGCCTCTCCCTCCATCTCTCCACCTTGTTTTCCTCTGTGTTGGGTTCCTTCTTAGGCCAGCTTCCTCCCACCGGCGTCCAGGGCAGGTTGACACCTCACCCCCTGCCCCCAGGGCCAATAGCTCCAACGCAGGACTGGAACTAGTCTCCTTGGACCAGCTTGGGTCACATGCCCTTCACTGAACCAATCACAGTGGACTGGGTGGGCAGGCTACACTGATTGGCTAGGCCTGCCAGGGGGCGGAGTCAGCCCCACCTAAACCCAGGGGATTGAGAGTGGGGGAGGGGTGGTTCCCCAAAGGAAATGAAACTAGGACCAGAGAGGGGATGGGACAGGCACAAACAACCAGATGTCCCCTGCAACATGGGCCCTGCCATACCATGGGCTCCCCAAGGGCAAACTTACTAACAAAGGGGCTATACAGATGGATATCATGGGTCCCGCTCTGTCGTTATGTAGCTGCTGTTCTAAGTGCTCTACATATATCGCCGGCGCTCTCTCGCTCGCTCGCGCCAAAGCCCGGGTTAGATATTCTTTTTTTCTTTTAATAGAAAATTTGAATGGTCCTGTACCGAATTGATGGAACAAATTGGCGCGCTGACGCTTGCTCGTCTGTGGCTATGACGTGCAAAGAACACGCCGGCTCCCCTCCTATGTGTTGGCTAGGGTGTACCCAATGCGATGGTTTTGATAAAGTCTACATTTTGACAGTGATGCGTACCACAATGCCGCCTTGGGTCTTCCCGATCCATGCTACTCACCGTCAACCTGCTGAATGACCATATATTTGCCCCGCCCTGTGTACAGGGTGAGGAACACTTCTCTCTCTCTCTTTTCCGTTCTCTCTCTCTCTCTCGCGCAGCGCTCGCTCTCTCGCTCGCCCCGCGCGTCGGACGCTCGCGCGAGCCGGCCATGGCGTCAGCCTAGCTCCAGCAACCTTCAAACTCCTGGGGCTCAAGCATTCTTGCTGCCTAGCGCTCCAAGTCACTGGGCTCACGATATTGTGGCCACCAGCCGGCTAATTTTGTGATAGTATATTAGCTGGTCCAATTATTTCTTTGTATTGTATAGTAGAGACAACGGGTTCTCGCTCTTGCTCAGGCTGGTTTCGAACTCCTGACCTCGAGCAATCCGCCCGCCTCGGCCTCCCACAGTGCTAGGATTACAGGCGTGAGCCACCGCCCGGCCATGAACACTTCTCTTAGCGAAGTTTAAGTGCAGTGTACAATATTAACTATAGTCACCATGGTGTACACTAAATCTCCAGCTCTCATAACTGTTATAACTGAAACTTTGTACCCTTTGAACGTGTCTCCATTTCCCCCTCCCTTCATTTTACTTTCTGTTTCTGAGTTCGAGCAGTATTTGTCTTTCTGTGCCTGGCTTATATCACTTATTAACACCATAATGTCCTTCCAGGTTAATTCATGAGGTTGAAAATGTCAGGATTTCCTTCTTTTTTAAGGGCCGGATAATATTCCATTATATATATCACATTTTCTTTATCCGTTCATCTGTTATCTGACACTTAGGTTTTTATCCCATAAGATATCCTTATTTTACAGATGAGGACTCTAAGGTCCAGAGAGGCCCAAAGAGTTAAGTTACTTGCCTGAGGTCAAAAAGCACAGAGGGACAATGTCAGATTTGCTCCCAGGCTATCAAGGACTAAAACATGAATTGGTCCATATGGGTATTCCACAAATCATTTATCCATTTGTTTTGTTTTGTTTTGTTTTTTGAGACAGAGTCTCACTTTGTTGCCCAGGCTAGAGTAAGTGCCCTGGCATCAGCCTCGCTCACAGCAACCTCAAACTCCTGGGCTCAAGCAATCCTTCTGCCTCAGCCTCCCGAGTAGCTGGGACTACAGGTATGCGCCACCATGCCTGGCTAATTTTTTGTATATATATTTTTAGTTGGTCAATTAATTTCTGTCTATTTTTAGTAGAGGCGGGGTCTCACTCAGGCTGGTTTCTCTTGAACTCCTGACCTTGAGCGATCTGCCCATCTCGGCCTCCCAGAGTGCTAGGATTACAGGCGTGAGCCAACTCACCCGGCCTCATCCATTTGTTCAACACTTACTAGTTGCCTACCACATGCCAGGCACAGTAATGCGGTACAGTGAGCAAAGCAGACCAAATCTGTGCCCTCCTGCAGCTCACATTCTCCTGGAAGAGACAGACACTAGACACGAAAGTACAAATAAGAGTTATCCATTATGTTAGGAGCTGATAAGTGACATGGAAAGAAACAGAGCAGAGGAGGGGGAGACTTATCGTTTTTAAATGGAGTGTTCAGGGTAGTCCTCATTGAGAAAATGAGATTTGAACAAAGGCTGGCAGGAGATCGGCAGTGAGTGACACTGAAGAGTATTCCAGGCCCAGAGACAAGCAGGGACAAAGGCCCTCAGGCAGGAACATAGCTGGTGTGTTCCAGGCACAAAATGGAGGCCTCAGTGGTTGGAGATCAGTCTGGAAGGTAGGAGTGGGGTAGAGGAGGAGGCTGAATTAGTAGGAGATGGGTCACCAAGTCTGTTTAGGAGAACTAAAGAAAACATCCAGAATGTTCCAGAACCCCTGGCCACCTGTGGTATCAATGCAGTATTATTAAGAGGCCAAGCTGAAATGCTGCAGGGGTGGATTTCCACTTGAGGTTTGTTCTACCATCTAGCTTCAGAGCACAGGGCTGGAGTACTGCTGTTTGTAGAAATGGAACTTTTCTGTGGTTCTCCTGTGTACTGAGCATGTAGAGATGATGCACAGACCCTGTCCCAGCACTCAAGAATTGACCCATCTAGGGGTCCCTGGGGCCCAGGCAGCACAGTGTTCCCATCCCCCAGGGTGGCCATGTCTGCAGTGTTGGCCCCTCTGTGTGTCACCAGGGAAAGGAACACAGGTCTGGAAGAAGAAAGGAGCCATCTATGAGGGAGACTGGAAGTTTGGGAAGCGGGATGGCTATGGCACGCTCAGCCTTCCTGACCAGGAGACTGGAAAGTACAAGAAAGTCTACTCAGGGTGGTGGAAAGACAATAAGAAATGGGTGAGTGGTTCCCAGCATGCCCTGGGGCATAGGCGGAGCCAGCAGGCAGGCAGGCAGGCTGTGTGTGTGTGTGTGTGTGTGTGTGTGTGTGTGTGTGTGATGGTGTGTGTGTAAGTGTGACGGCGTGTGTGTAGGGGGGACAGAGAGGCCTGGGAGAAAAGTGGGGGAGTAGTCTGAGGGAAGGAGGACAAGGTTGCTTGTGGGTGGAAGACGGAAGAAGGTGGGGGAATCATCAAGACTTCTTAGAACAAAACCCAGGAAACAGGAAACAATAGAGAAAGGAGGAGCCTGTGAAACTGTGGCCACCAGAAGCCAGCCAGGCTTGTGGGGGCGAAGTCTCCTCCACCCTCTTCCCCTCTCATTTCCTGGCTTTCTGTGCTCTGGGCACCCCTCTCTGAGAGCACCCCTTCTGTTAGGGCTGCATAAAGGGGGAGGTGGGAAAAGTGGGCACAACAGAGCAGGGACCACAGCTTTGGCCATAGGACAAGAGGGGAAGGTCCTGGGGGACAGGAGGCAGCCAGAGGCATGTGCTCAGCCCATAAACCCCCGAAAAGGGCACAGATTCGCTGAAGTCACTCTCTCACAAACTTGTATGTACCATCACCACAGCCCCTGGAGACATTATCATTACAGTATTGCAATTGAGCAGCTGCTATTGTGAGCCTAGAACATGTACCTGGTACTTCAGTGAACTCTCACAACAACTTACCATCATCAACATTTCCATTTTGAAGTGCCTTGCTTGGGGTCACACAGCTGACAAGAGTTAGAGCCCAGGATTTCATGTTCTCTGTTCCCACATTGCTGATTGGCCAGTGGGGAGAGAAAGCCCAAAATAAACAAGTTACATATAATATGGTGTTGTTTTTCTCAGGGTGCCCAACCTAGAGCATTCAGAGCAGGCTTCCTGTAGAGGGACCCAAAAGTGCTGGGAGTTAGCAAGGGAGAAAAAAGGCAGCGGAGGATTGGAGGCATAAATGGCAACGGGAAGGCGTGTCAAATATCAGGGTGTGCTGCCCTGGAGTGGGATTGAGGAGGGGGCAGTGGGGACCTTCAGGGTTTTGTGGGGATCAGGATTTTTTTTTTTTGAGACAGAGTCTCGCTTTGTTGCCCAGGCTAGAGTAGTGCCGCGGCATCAGCCTAGCTCACAGCAACACCTCAAACTCCTGGGCTCAAGATCCTCATCCCTCCTGCCTCGCCTTCCGAGTAGCTGGGACTACGGCATGCCACCACCATGCCTAGCTATGTTTTTCTATATATATTAGTTGGCCAATTAATTTCTTTCTATTTGCAGTAAAGACGGGGGTCTCACTCTTGCTCAGGCTGGTTTTGAACTCCTGACCTTGAGTGATCTGCCCGCGTTGGCCTCCCAGAGAGCTAAGATTACAGGCGTGAGCCACCGCACCTGCCCGGGATCAGGATTTTGAGGAGCACTCTTGGGCTGCTCAAGCCACCCTCCTTGGGTGTGACCTGCACGGAGTCCCTGATTCTTTGTGGTTGGACACTGGGCGTGACGTTAATGGTCATTTTTCTGGGTCGAAATCTGAGAGCGAGGGGCAAACGTGATAGGGTGATTTAAAGGTCCTGTGGTGGCGGCTGTATGGAAGAAGCACGAGGTGGGGGTTGGGGGCCCGGTGGGGGTTGGGGGCCGGAGAGGGCGGGCTCAGTGAGGAGGGGAGAAGCGATGTCCGGCTGCATGAAGGCAGCAGCCGAGGGACAGAGAGAAGTGGACAGCGTTGGGAGATCTTTCACGACACTTGGATGCAGGGCTGCAGGAGGAGGCAACGGAGAAGCCCAGGTGTGTGGCTCGGGGGTGCCTGGGAAGGCGGTGGGCTTTCCTAGCCGTCCGGGCGCCGTGAACAGGGGCACCTTCGTGCTTTCAGGGCTATGGGATCCAGTTTTTCGAACCCGAGGAGTATTACGAGGGTGAGTGGTGTGGCAACCATCGCAGCGGGTGGGGCCGCATGTACTACAGCAACGGCGACATCTACGAGGGCCAGTGGAAGAACGACAAGCCCAACGGGGAGGGCATGTTGCGCCTGAGTGAGTGCCCCGGCCCCACCCGCCCCGACAGGCCCCGCCCCCAACTCCTCTCGACCCCTTCCCGGTCGCCCCGCCCCCAGCAGACCACACCCACACCAGCCCCGCCCCAATGTCTCGCTGGCCACGCCCCCGACCGGCCAAGATACCTGGCCACGCCCCCGCAGAGCGGTGCTCGGTTGCAGCACGACTAACGAGACCACCATTCACCCACAACCCTCAAGAGGGCAGTCTCACACAACACCAAGGGGAGCCTACAGCCACAACGACCATATCAACAAACAATGATTTAGGGCCCATAATCGTCGCCCACTGCCTTGCGAGTCACTGAGCCTCACGTAATCCCATCACGCGTCCCGACACAAGAAGCCCCTGTCGCTCCCACGTTACAAATGGCCGAGGTTGCGAGAGGCCACAAACAATCACAACATGCTCATGCAGGCTGTGGGTTGTGGGGACAAAAGCACTAAGGAATTCTCCTTAGAAAACAGGAAGGTGTGTTGGGAAATGGCAAAGCTTGAGGCTGGGGCTTTAGTTGACTTCAGGTCAGGAAATGCCTCCCTGAGGAGGTGTTTGAACCTTTTTTTTATATTGAGACGAGTCTCACTCTGTTGCCGCAGCCCAAACCAGGCCTAGAGTGAGTGCCACCAACACACCGCCTCACAGCAACACACACAACTCCTCGGCTCAGCAATCTCCAAAAGCCAACACCAGCGACCCAAAACCACCCCGAGTACTTGGACTACAGACATGTGCCTACCATTGCCCGGCTTAATTTTTTCTCTAATATATATTTTTAGTTGCCCAGCTAATTTGTTTCTGTTTTTTTTAGTAGAGACCGGGTCTTGCTCTTGCTCAGGCTGGGGTCTCCGACTCCTGAGCTCAAACGATCCGCCTCAGCCATCGGCCTTGGCCTCCCAGAGTGCTAGGATTACAGGTGTTCGCCACCACAGCCTGCCGGTATTTGAACCTTTGGAGGGAGACCTGAAGGAAAAGAAGGAGCTGGAATGCCTTTGCATTGAGCTCTGGAGGGGTGATCCCAGGCAGAGGGAAGAGTAATTAATGAGAAGCCTGTGTTGGTGTCAGGATTTGAGAATTTTCTCTGTATGCAGCAACCAGAGTGAGCTTTCTAAAACACAGATTGGGCCTCATGGCCACATTGTTTTCAACCCTTCCAGAGCTGCCTGTCACCCTCAGGCTAAGTTCAAGGCTCTTCCCCTGGACTTGGAGGCCCAGCATAAGTTGACCCTGCTCACCCCTCTGGCTTCACCTTCCCTTCCCTTTCCCTGGAGTTCCTTGGTTTCCACTAAACTAACTTCCTTTCAGTTCCTCCCACGCTTTCTGCCTCAGGACTCCTGCACTGCTGTTCCCTATTCTTGGAATGCTTTTCCCTAGATCTTTGCATTGTCCCATCCTCGGAGAGACGTTCCTTGTCCACACCACCTAAATCACATTCTCATTCTCCTCAGCACCCACTTTTTTCCTTCTCAGCACTGGGTATGTGATTCTGGGCAAGTTACTTTGCCTCTCTGGGCCTGGGGTCAAGCGATCCTCCTGCCTCAGCGTCTTGAGTAGCTGGGACTACAGACGTGCGCCACCATTCTGAGCTAATTATTTGATTTTTGGTATACATGGAATCTTGCTGTTGCTTAGGCTGGCCTTAAACTCCTGGCCTCAAGCGATCCTCCTGCCTTGGCCTCCCAAAATGCTAGGATTACAGGCGCGAGCCACCACACGCAGCTGGCACATCATTTCTAAAGGTCTAAACTCTCAAGCCAGCCCGCTTGGGTTCAGATCCTGGCTTGAGTTCTTCCTAGCTGTGTGACCTCAGGACATTTGCTTATACCGTGCTATGGTTTCCTCATCCATAAAGAAAGGATGTAACTCCTAGAGTTATTGTGAAGGTTAAATGAGGTTTCTATCTGTAAGGTGCTTAGTGTGTGGTACCTAACACGTAAGTGCTCACTGAGACTATGACAAGCTCATACTTGTATACAGCAGGAGTCAGCACACTACGGCTGGCGGAGGGCGCGCCTGGTGGCCTAGCCTGGTCTGGTGTGCTCAGCACGCATCCCTCCCTGTCCTCCCCCCGCCAGAGAACGGGAACCGCTATGAGGGCCGCTGGGAGCGAGGCATGAAGAACGGGTCGGGACGTTTCTTCCACCTGGACCACGGGCAGCTGTTCGAAGGCTTCTGGGTGGACGACGTGGCCAAATGCGGCACGATGATCGACTTTGGCCGCGATGAGGCCCCTCAGCCCACCCAGTTCCCCATTCCTGAGGTGGGCAGCCCTCACCAGGGCCCTGTGGCCCCACCCAGGGAGACAGAAACCAGCACCCCCAAGCCATGCCCAGCCGCGCCCAGCCCAGCCCAGCCAGGGAACAGACCCGGTTTTGTGTTCAGTCGGGGCGTCCTTGGCAAGGCTGGCAACTCCCGACGAGGCTGGCAGCCTGGATCTTCTATGCTCCCGAGATCAACCCCTTGCTGTTTCCCTCCAGGTCAAAATTCTAGACCCTGATGGCGTACTGCGGGAGGCCTTGGCCATGTTCAAGAAGACAAAGGAAGAAGGAGACTGACGGCGGGCAAGGGGGTAGGCACACCTGCCAGCCTGTGACATGGCTGCGACAGCTCCGGGGGTCTCCAAAGGGCTTGGGCCAGGACCAGAGAGGTCAGGTTTCTTATCTCCTACAGTCCAGTGGGTCCTTTTTGGTTCCTCCCCCTCAAAACCCACTTCACTGAAGACCAGCGCACTCCAGTCCTGCCCCTAACTCCCTGTTTGCCCCCTGGGCCAACTGGCATGAGCCTGGGTTGGAGCTAGGTGGTCTGTTCGCCTCTGATGCCCTTGAGTGGGGTGATTGGCCCCTGGCCTCCATTTGCACATGCATCCAGTGGGGTTCAGTCCTAGCCCCTGCTGGGGTGGGCATGAGTGTTGGAGAGGAGGGCACTGGTCCTGAGCCTTTCAAATGCCACCGTCCCCCTCACCCCTGCAGAGAGAACACCAAGGCTTCAGGAGAAACGCAAGCCCATGTCACCCAACCGCTCAGACCGGTGCAGCTCCCAAGGGAGGAATGAGCAGTAGCTCTGGGCACACCCTTGGCACCCTGAGAGGGTACCTTGCTCCCCCCAGTGCTGGATCATTCTTGGCCAACAGAGGGGCCAGTGCTTCTTTCCTAGGCTGGCCTCAGGGACCCTCTTGCTGTGGCCTTAGTCCCATGATCTCATCCCAGAGTGCATGAGAATAAAGGAGAACCAGGTGACGTGAGCCTGGGGCTGTTAGTGTGAGGATAGGAGGTGGGTGGGAGGGAGCCCAGGAGGGATTCCAGGTGGAGAAGAGGGAAGACCTCCTCCCTAGCCCCCACCCGCTGTCTGGGCTCGCCTTGCTGGAGAAAGGGCAGATCTCTGACCTCTGAGACAGTCAGGAGAGGAGAAAGAACCTGCATTCCACCACACTGGCCGCCAAGATTTGAGATTAAAACTTCCTGACCTGGCTTCTCAACCTAACACACAGGCTCTCAACCCTGTGGGTGGAAGCCTTAAAAGCTTTAAGAGCCCAGGTCCCCAAGATTCGCACCTAATTCACCTGGGGCGAGGCCTGGGCTGTCACAAAGTTCCCCAGGTGATTCTAGCATGGAGCTGGGACCAAGAACCCCTGATTTTCTGGATGTGTGACCCCAAGCAGGGGATCTCAGTTGCCCCATCTGCAAAACGGGACTCAGGAGAGCTCACAGGAGTATTTTGAGGCTCTGATAACAGATGCAATAATGATGAGTAACACGTATTGAGGTTAATTTAGGGCAGGAAGAGCTCGACAACATTCCTGAGACAAGGGCTTCTGCATAGGCAGGAGGCAGGCTCTGGGCTCAGACTGCCTGGTGTGAATCCCAGAGATATGTGTTCTTGGGAATGTCACCCAAACTCTGTTGTTCTCTGGGATTCCTTGTGATGTGGGGCAGGAACAATACCTACCACCTGGGTTACTGTAGCTATGGTTCTAAACTGGGCGTGATTTTATCCCTACTCTCACCCCCCACTGTCCTTGGGACATTCAGCAACGTCTGACACTTGTGGCTGTCACAACTAGCAGATAAGAATGCTACTGGTATCAAGTGAGTAGAGGCCAGGGATGCTGCTAAACATGCTATTTGTTTGTTTGTTTTTGTTTTTTTGAGACAGAGTCTTGCTTTGTTGTCCAGGCTAGAGTGAGTGCCCTGGCATCAGCCTAGCTCACAGCAACCTCAAACTCCTGGGCTCAAGCAATCCTACTGCCTCAGCCTCCCGAGTAGCTGGGACTACAGGCACGCACCACCATGCCCGGCTGATTTTTTGTATATATATATTTTAGTTGGTCAATTAATTTCTTTCTATTTTTAGTAGAGGTAGGGTCTCGCTCAGACTGGTTTTGAACTCCTGACCTCGAGCAATCTGCCTGTCTCAGCCTCCCAGAGTGCTAGAATTACAGGTGTGAGCCACCGCGCCCGGCCTAAACATGCTATTAATACAACGTAAAGATGCTACAAAAGAACTATTTCGGTCCGAAGTAAAAAATGCTGAGGTTGAGAAACCCTGAAATACAGTGATGTTCATAAAGACCTCAAGTGCCTGGCACAATGCTCACTTAACTTTATCGAAGTTCTCTCTGCCCCTAAATCATAAGTGGGGTGGCCTCACCAAGGGTGTGGTTCTTAGTCTGTACCTCTGGCACCAGGAGGCCAAGCCTGGCCACCCTGGGATGCAGAATAAACAGTGATCCCCAGTACAAATGCTTACTCTGTGCCAGCCCTGTGCTGATGGCTTAGCAAGCCTTGTCTCCTGGGCCTCCCCAATAACCTGTAAGGTGTCCTGCTATTATTACCGCCAAACTGAGGTTCGGAGTTCAAAAGTCACCAAGCTAGTACTGTGGTTACACTTAGGAGTGTGTGCTTTTAGGATGCAGAGAGTGTGTACAGAGCCTTACCTATACAGAGTTACGATTTTTTAAGAAAAAGTAGGGGAAGAGTATGCTTGTTTATGTATAAAATGTCACTGGATGGGAACACGATCAACTGGCAACAATGGTTGTCTCTGGGGAGAACTGGGGACCTGGGAACGAAGGCAAGAGTAACTTTTCACTGTTGTATTTGGAACTAAGTAATGTGTTACCTATTCAAGGTATAAATAAAACTGAAGTTAAAGGGACTATGCTCGTAACTACCAGTGTTTGCCTAAGTTGCTTGGGTGTGAGAGTACCTGGGTGCTTGTTGGATTCCAGAGACACACCCAGACCAACTTGGCTCAGAATCTCCAGGGGGAGGGCTTGGAAATCTGCATTTCACAAGTCAAGTGGGTGATTTTTTTTTTTTTTTTTTTTGAGACAAGAGTCTCACTCTGTCTCCTGGGCTGGAGTGCCATGGCATTAGCCTAGCTCACAGCAACCTGAAACTTGAAACTCCTGGGCTCAGCTATCCTCTTGCCTCAGCCTCCTGAGTAGCTGGGACTACAGGCGTGCACTGCTGCACCTGGCTAATTTTTTTTCTATTTTTTAGTAGAGACGGGATCTCGCTCTTGCTGGTCTCTAAATCCTGATCTCAAGCGATTCCTCCCAACTCAGTCTCCCAGAGTGCTAGGATTACAGGCAGGAGCCACTGCACCCAGCCAAGTGGGTGATTCTTAAGTCCAGGCAAGTTTAGGGGAGAGAACCAAAGACTACAGGATCACAGCCCAAAAATTATTCCAGCTGGACCCCAAGTCTCTGCAGAGGCAGGGAGGTGGCTATTTTAGTGGAATATGTAAAAGATGCCCAGGCCTTCTCTGGGGCACAGTGGAGGGTTCACACAAGGCTCCCTGCCCAGTCCTATACCGTCCCAGGAAGAAGGGTAGATCATTGTGCATACGATGCAGGACCCAGGAGCTATAGTAGGAAGGAGGTTCCTTCCCCACTCAGCCCACAAAGCTGCTATGGGCCATGTCCTGGTCTGCACAGGAGAGTTTAAGACCACACTTTCCAAACTGTGTTCCTCAAGAGTCAGGGTTCAAGGGTAAAAAACCTACCTAACAGGTACAGTGAACACTATTTTGGGTGATGGGCGATGGGCACACTTACAGCCATGACTCAAGCATTACAAAAGCGATCCATGTAACCCAGAACATTTGTACCCCCTTAATATTTTGGGGAAAAAAAGAGGGTTCAGTGGAAGTATCTTGGGGAAGGGGAGGGAGACAAAAACCAGGCTTGCAATGCCCAGAGCACTGTTAGAAAATCACTTTATACACTGGGTTTCTGGGACAGACAAAAATCTCCAACTTGAGGACTTAAGGGGCTCAGTCTTTAGACTGAAACAGAATCCGCACTTTCCACTCTCATCTTCAGACTAATTTGATGACTCAACTTGGTAACATTAAGTGAAGCTGGCCTGGAGCAAGAAGAGAGAGTGGTGAGGATGGTGACAAAAACAGATCCTGGGGCAGAAAGAGGGTAGCTGCAATTCCATTGCTGTTCATTGTTGCTTTGCAAGGTGGGTTCAGTGCGGCTGGATATTCCAAATTTTCAAGAAAAGCCAAAATCCTCCCTGGGTGAGATTTTTGTGAGGGCCCAGGCTCTGAGCCAGATTTTCCAGGTTGGACTCCTGGCCATTTATTTAACCAGTTTGTGCATCACTTTTGCTACCTGCAAAATAGAGATAATAATAGCACCCATCTCACAATGATGCTGAGGGTTAATTGAGTCGATGCTTAGAACAGCATCTGCACAGAATGGTTTACTACTCTGGTTATTTCAAATGGATCCTGACACAATCTCACGTAATATTCCTGCCAAAATACAAAACCTGATTGTAGTAATGAGAAAACATGAGAGGGTTGGGCACGGTGGCTCACACCTGTAATCCTAGCACTCTGGGAGGCTGAGTCGGGCAGATTGCTCCAGGTCAGAAGTTCGAAACCAGCCTGAGCAAGATCGAGACCCCACCTCTACTATAAATAGAAAGAAATTAATTGGCCAACTAATATATATAGAAAAAATTAGCTGGGCATGGTGGTGCATGCCTGTAGTCCCAGCTACTCGGGAGGCTGAGGCAGTAGGATTGCTTGAGCCCAGGAGTTTGAGGTTGCTGTGAGCTAGGCTGACGCCACGGCACTCACTCTAGCCTGGGCAACAAAGCAAGACTGTTTCTGAAAAAAGAAAACATGAGAGAAACCAAACTATGATGATATTCTACAAAATCACAGGCCTGGTCAAAAACATGTTACAAGACAAAGGCCGAGGAACTGTTCCAAACCTAAAGGAGACTTAAGATGTGACAAGTCATTGCAATACATGATCCTGAAGTGGAAAAAGCATTGCTAGAAAGCACATTATTGGGACAAGTGGGAAACGGAACAGGAATGTTATATTAGGTAATTGTATCAATGTCACATTTCCTGAATTTGATCATTGAACTGTGGTTATGCAGGGGAATGTGCTTGGTTTCAGGAGAAAGTATTTAGGGATGAAGGACTGTATCTCTAACAAAAGTGTAAGGCTCGGGGAGAAGTACACACAGCTCACCCTCTTCATTCATGGCTTCAGTATTTGTGAATCTGCCTTTTTGCTGACGTCGAAGAAGACGACACTCTGCGTTCTTGTTTCAGCTCTGAAAGGACACTGTAAACAAGTGTCCTCTTCTCAGTCTATTTAGTGTCATATTTTTCACAGTTTTATGTTTTTGGTGATTTGGCTATTCCAACTGGTCCCCAAGTGTAATACTGGAGTGCTAATGTTCCTGAGTGCAAGGTTATGACATTTCTTACACAGAAAATACATGTGTGAGACAAGCGTCATCCTGGCATGCACTACAGTGCTGTTGGCTGTTAGTAATGAGTCAACAATATAAAAATATCTTTAAACAGAAATACACATAAAACAAGGTTACATATTGATCAGTTGAAAAATATGACCAGAGGCTCAGAGGAATCTCAACCCTGTAATTCCCCTAGGAGCAACAGTTCAATTTCAATATCTGCTAATTCAGTGTTCACGGTGATTTTATAGAATCTAAGTACTATAAATAACAAGAAATGACTATGTATATTTCAGTTATTTTATTTATTTATTTATTTAGACAGAGTCTTGCTTTGTTGTCCAGGCTAGAGTGAGTGCCATGGTGCCAGCCTAGCTCACAACCACCTCAAACTCCTGGGCTCAAGCAATCCTACTGCCTCAGTCTCCTGAGTAGCTGGGACTACAGGCCACCATGTGCCACCTTGCCTGGCTACTTTTTTCTATATATATTAGTTGGCCAATTAATTTATTTCTATTTATAGTAGAGACGGGGTCTTGCCCTTGCTCAGGCTGGTTTTGAACTCCTGACCTCAAGCAATCCGCCCGCCTCCCAGAGTACTAGAATTACAGGTGTGAGCCACCAGCGCCTGGCCTATATTTCAGTTATTATTCATACTTTTCATGGGTCTGAAATTTTGCAAAATAAAATGTTGGAAAAAAAATTTATTTTTATTTATTTATTTTTGAGACAGAGTCTCACTTTGTTGCCCAGGCTAGAGTGAGTGCCATGGCATCAGCCTAGCTCACAGCAACCTCAAACTCCTGGGCTCAGGCGATCCTCCTGTCTCAGCCTCCCAAGTAGCTGGGACTACAGGCATGTGCCACAATGCCCGGCTAATTTTTTATATATATATTTTTAGTTGTCCAATTAATTTCTTTCTATTTTTAGTAGAGACAGGGTCTTGCTCAGGCTGGTTTTGAACTCCTGACCTCGAGCAATCCGCCCGCCTCAGCCTCCCAGAGTGCTAGGATTACAGGCGTGAGCCACCGCGTCCTACCAAAAAATTTTTTTTAAACTTTGCGTAGAGGCTCACCTGAATGGGGCACCAGGAGAAAGAGCCCAGACCCAACAAACACAGACACGAGAAGGGTGTCCCATAAGAGTATATTTATGTATCACACACACGCACACACGCACACACTCGACACTGACCAGGAGGGAGGTCGAGAAGGAAAGGACAGGAAGCACCAGGTGGCACTGGCACAGGGGAGGAGGGGGGACAAAGGGAGCTTCTGGCCCCACTCGGGCCCCCACTGCCTCCTAACGGGAGGTGCACCTGAAGCTGGAAGAACAGGAAGTGCTTATTCTCTTAGAGGAAAGTTTCAAAGTGCAGAAATTTCTTTTACAAAACGCCTTTTCCCTCCACTTTCTGTCCCCCCACCGATGGAGCCGAGCCCCCTCCACAGGCCATCCCTCTGTAAGCCTGGGGCAGGACAAGGTCATGGGGAAGGGTGTAAGGCCAAAGCTCTGGAGGGCCAAGACCGCAAGGGCTTAGGCGTAGTGGCTGCCGGGCGTCAGGGGGTGGTCCCCTCTGTGGTCCAGCTGGTCCTGCAAGCGCGCAAACTCAGCCAGCTCATTGAGCTCCTGGAACTGTCGGTCCGTCTTGTGGCTGACCAGTGAGCGGTAGAAGTGGACGGCAAAGACGATAAAGATCAGGCCGAAAGGGACCATGATGGCGGTGGAGGCGATGGCAGCTGCCTGGCCTGGGGTGATACCGCCAGCACCACTACTGCTGCTGTCGTTGGCGACCGCGCCACCGGTCGAGGGCTTGGTGGGCCGCGGCTGGCCTGGCTGCTTCTTGAGGGGCAAGAACTTGACCCAGCAGAGCAGTACAACCTCGGCCAGGAAGAGTAGTGTGCCGATGACGGTGGAGAAGGCCCAGGCCAGCTCGATGTGGCGGTGCATGCGCTCGTGGGGCGACTCCTTGACCGAGTTGAGATTGTGCACGTTGCTCACGGCCTCGATGTTGGGCAGGATGCAGGTGCTGATCATGAGCGCGAACAGGTGCACGGCCACCAGCACTGTGGTGCAGATGCTGAAGGCGATGAGCAGCCCCAGCGGGTAGTCGTGGTCAGTGTCCAGCTGCACTTCCACCATCGCCACCTGGGGGGCAGGGGAGACAGGCGGGGTGAGTGCCAGCACGGTCCTAGCCCACATAGCTATGCTCAAATCCTCACTCTCCTCCCGTCTGGCTCCGGGACCCTGGGCCAGTCGCTTGGCCTCTCTGAGCCTCAGTTTCCACATGTACATAATGGGGATAGTAACTCCACCTACTTGGGGTTAAGAAGTGGAAGAAGTTGGCCAGGCGCGGTGGCTCACGCCTGTAATCCTAGCACTTTGGTAGGCCGAGGAGGGCAGATCATTCAAAGTCAGGAGTCTGAAACCAGCCTGAGCAAGAATGAGACCCCGTCTCTACTAAAAATAGAAAGAAATTAGCTGGACAACTAAAAATATAAGAAAAAATTAGCCGGACATGGACATGGTGGCGCATGCCTGTAGTCCCAGCTAATTGGGAGGGTGAGGCAGAAGGATTGCTTGAGCCTAGGAATTTGAGATTGCTGTGAGCAAGGCTGACGCACTGGCTGGGCACTCTAACCCAGGCAACGGAGTGAGACTCTATCTCAAAAAAAAAAAAAAAAAAGTGGAAGAAGTTACTGGCGAAGAAAGCAGGCTTGGAGCCAAGCCCCTGTGAGCTCATTAGCTGTGTGACTTTGGGAAAGTCACTTAATCTCTCTGAGCCTCAACTTTTTTTCCTATAAAATAGGGTATTTTTTTTTCTTTTTGGAGACAGAGTCTCTGTTGCCTGGGCTAGAGTGCCGTGGTGTCAGCCTAGCTCACAGCAACCTCAAACTCCTGGGCTCAAGCAATCCTGCTGCCTCAGCCTCCTGAGTAGCTTGGCTACTGGCATGCACCACCATGCCCGGCTAATTTTTTCTATATATTTTTAGTTGGCCAATTAATTTCTTTCCATTTTTTTTAGTACAGATGGGGTCTCGCTCTTGCTCAGGCTGGTTTTGAACTCCTGACCTTAAGCGATCCGCCCGGCTCAGAAAATAGGGCATTTTAAAAAATGCATTTAAATTAAAAAAGCAGGCTAGGTGTGTAGCGGCTCACACTATAGCACTTTGGAGGCTTAGGTGGAAGGATCACTTAAGCTCAGGAGTTCAAGGCCTGCCTGGCAACAGTGAGAACCCATCCTGCAAGAAATAAAATAAAATGAAAATTAGCCAGGCATGGTGGTGTGCACCCATAGTCCCAGCTACTCGGGAGGCTGAGGCAGGAGGATCACTCGAGCCCAGGAGTCGGAGGCTGCGGTGAGCTATTCTGGCAGCACTGCACTCCAGCCTGGAGATACAGTAAGACTCTGTCTCAAGAAAACCAATCATCAACCCCCATCCCTGCTGGCCCTACATCCTCACACCCAAGCAGAGGCTGCTTCTTCATGCCCTGCTCTGGGGACAAGCAAAGGGATGGTGGCTGGACGGGTGACAGCCCCCCCCAGGGCCCTTCCTGAGAACACAGTACAAAGACCCAACAAATACCAAGAGAGGCTTCCCAGAAGTGACGGGTTCAACTCTCCTGCAGGCTGCACGGCCAGCGCACCCTGGGGCTGTCTCCTCCCCAGCCTGGGGGCTGACGCACTGGCTGCTCCCCACTTCCTGGAGACTCAGGGACCCGAGGTCACCAGGGGCATGCTCTGGGCTTGCCACCCGCTGCTTCTCACCTGGACCTTGAAAATCGCCCCCATGTGAAGGAGCCAGCTCATCAGATCTGGGCCAGGAGCAGTGGGTGATGCGCAGGTGGCTAAGCTCAGCCAGTGAGGGCTGAAGGGATGGGGGCTGGGTGGACAGAGGGCACCAATGGCAATAACACCATAAAGGACAGGGACTCTTCATTAAGTGTGTGCTACATACCCGGCAGGCTCAGGGCAAAGCTAGCACCGAAGTTTATCCGCAGGCAGGCAGGGAACTCCTGCAGCCTGCCCCTCCTTACGTCCAGCGAGAGGGGTGGGCTCCCTCCTTCCCCACCAGCTTTCTTTCTGCCAGGCTGCCTGGCTTCGAACCCTGAGTCCTCTGCCCTTTATTAGGCTGTGTCGCTCTGGCAAGTTCCTTCGACTTTCCTGCCTCAGTTTCCACATCTATAAAATGGGAATAATGGCACATGCCCCAGAGGGTTGTTGTGAGGACTGAGCTTATCCATGTAAAATACTCAGTGCCTGGCACATAATAAAACCTCAATGACAGCTTTGTTATCATCATTCAGTTTAGAAACTTCATCCTCGAACCCACTGTCTCTGCCTGAAATCTTCCCGGAGGGGCATGCTCAGGCAGGGCCAAAGGGGCAGACCTGGGTTCTAGCTCAAGAACTGTCCCCTGTTTCATGTTTCACCATGTGACTTTGGTCAAGACCCTCCCCTCTATCTGTGATAGGAGAAGTGGGGACATGAAGGTCACGGTCTAGAGCTGACGTGGGGTCTGACACCACTGAGAATCTTGTGAAAACAGCAGATATTCTCCTTAAAACATCCAGGTATGGCCGGGTGCGGTGGATCACACCTGTAATCCTAGCACTCTGGGAGGCCGAGGCGGGAGGATTGCTGGAGGTCAGGAGTTCGAAACCAGCCTGAGCAAGAGTGAGATCCTGTCTCTACTATAAATAGAAAGAAATTAATTGGCCAACTAATATATATAGAAAAAATTAGCCAGGCATGGTAGCACATGCCTGTAGTCCCAGCTACTCGGGAGGCTGAAGCAGCAGGATTGCTTGAGCCCAGGAGATTGAGGTTGCTGTGAGCTGGGCTGATGCCACGGCATTCCACTCTAGCCTGGGCAACAAAGCGAGACTCCGTCTCAAAACAAAAAACAAAAAACATCCAGGTATATTAATTTATCAGACTCCTCAATTTCAATGGGCTTCATAGCCTTTTGCCTAAGAATTCCCACAATTGACGACTGTATGTACTTTTCAACCCACGAGTTTATAAAACATTTCAAGCTCATATAAATTTGGGGCAGTGCCATCAGGATTTCAACCATTTTTGAGATCACTGGTGGCGTAAAGCCAACCCCGAGAATTCTTAGTCCATGCGGGTGAGGGGCACTGCATGTGGCAGGCCACCAGGGCAGGGCATATCCCGTGGCCCTTTGCCCCCAGTCCTGCCCCACACCTGGGAAAGGGGGGCCCCCTCCAGCAGCCAGTGTCTCCTGCTACCTCCCCACCCCCAGCACTTCCTCTTCCTGTTTTGGCCTTCTGCCCCGGAACCTGAAACCAGAGAAAGGACAAGCAGCAGAGGCCACTGCTTGGCTGTCCCCGCTCTTCTGCTATTTACTCACTCACCAGAAATGCCTGGAGCCCTCAGGCAGGCCAGGCCCTGAGCTGGGCACTGGCAGTATGTACAGGGGAGGGGGGAGCTGCACACAGGTGTACACTCCCAATATGCCCCCAATCTGTGCTCACCTGCGCCCCAGACACCCCTGAGTTAGTGTATCTCTCGCATAGAGCTGTTGAGAGCACAGGCCCACCCCACACCGCTGGGCACAAACTGGCTCCTGCACTCACAAACCTGGTGACCTTGGACAAGGATTTCAACCTCTCTGTGCCACAGCTCCCACGTCTGTGAAACAGGGGCCAGCTTCTCATGGTTGTTAAGAGGAGCCAATGAGTTGATGCATATGAAGCCCTTAGAACAAGCCCTGGCATGCAATAAACTTCAGTGTCAATGATTACTGGTAATACCACTATTCTTCTTTTAGAAATGAGGAAACTGAGGCTCAGAGAGGTGAGGTCAGCTGTCTGATGGGTTATACTCCTGTTGGATTCAAACTCAAGTCAAGTTGGCTCCAAAGCCTAGGTAACAATGAGGGTAACTGAGGACACATTAAATGAGGTTTTGGCAAGTAAATGTTTAGCACATGTTCAGCCACAGGAGAAGCTCAATAAGTCTTCGGTAAAAACCAAAACACATAGGCTGGGCGCTGCCTATAGCCCCAGCTACTCAAGATGCCAGGGCAGGAGGATCACTTGAGCCCCTGGACACCTTGACTTCAGGTTGGAGAGGACTGATCCCGCACGTCCACATTCCAGCCCCACTCTGGGCCTCAGGCATAAGGAAAGTGTGTGCCCCAAACCATACCTGGCCAGATGGTCACCTCCACAGGACAGAGACCACCATGCTCCAGGCCATTTGTCACACCTACAGGCTCCAGCACCAGAAAACGGAGGCTGCTGGGACACACCCGGCCAAAGTTAGCCAGCCCTCCCTGAGGTCTTGGGCTAGAGGGAGGCCAAGCCCTTCAAGGAAGAGGAAGGGGCCGGCTGACCTGTCCCAGAAGAAACCCTATTGCCCTCGCCGGACCCTACGATTCCTGGAACTCCAGCCATAGGCAGGCTGTATGTGCTGTTCCCACATTTGGGGCCAAGTTCAATGCCATGAAGCTGTGTAAAAGAATGACTCGAAGTGAGAAGAAAGGAACCATTGGCACAAGTCATGGAGCTTGAGGCAAACGTCACAGGAATAAATGGCACTGGTTTTTCCAGGATGTTTCCTGCTTGTGAAATCTCCCCACAGGTGGGGACAGCAAAGTCAGTGGCCCTTGCAGATCTGGCAGCTGACTCCCAGGGCCCCAACCGAGGCCCAGAGCTTCCCAGAGCGATCAGATCAGATTGCATGCAGCTTCACAAGGTAAATATAGCCCGTTAACCCAAAATAAACAGCCTCCAGCCAGCCACGGGCCTGCTTGAACCTGGCCACACAAGTCCTAAAGGAATAGAGAGGGCAAGAGACAGCCAGCCCCACCTCACAGTGGTCCACAGACTCCCCAGAGAGGACGCTAAACCTCAAATGAGAGCCAAAGTAGAAGATTATGTAATTCTGCCCAGGGTACGGCTGGGGCTGACTTTGCCAGGCGTTTGCCCATCCCGCCCAAACGCCAGCCACCTTTCCTCACTCCTGCTGGGCTCGATGGAGACCCTGGGGCACCCGGTGCCTGCAAGTCCAGGCCCTTCTGTGGCAGCTCTCCCATGCCGGGCCTGACCTCAGTGCCCACAGCTGGGAGATCCAACTTTCCTTTCCCCAGCAGCACAGGTCTTCTCTTGTCCACCCT